AGGAAAAGGAACAGGGCCTCCATTCCCCTCTTATTCTTCCTTTCTTGCGTTTTTGTCGTTTAGAAGGGAACAGGAGAAGAGGAGGGAGAGAGAAGGAGAGAGGAGACATAAAAAGGGTTGCATTTTTAATGGGAAGAGCAAAGAAAAGACCAGAAGAGAGATGATGGGAGAAGAGGGGGAGACAAAACAAGGCGCACAGAAAATGGGCAGATAAGAAGAGAGGAAAGGGAATGACCAAGTACAATGAGGAGTTCTTCAATTTCCCTCCCTATCTCTTATGTTACTTTTCCTTCTTGTGGGGTGTCCCTTTTTCTCTTGAAGATGCAGAAAACGATTGAAAAGGACACCCGTTCCATCGCCCATATGTAGGGAAAAAGAGAGAGAATCATGAGCATCAGCTGGGCTTGCTGCCAATCCAACATGGGCGTCCCTTTTAATCGCATTCTGTGTCCTTTTTTCTCGCTTGAAGATGCAGAAAACGATCCAAAAGCACATCTGTTGGAGGAAGAGAGAAGGAGAGAGGAGAGATACCAAGGATTGCATATTTAATGGGAAGAGCAAGGAAGAGAATAGAAGACAGATGAATAGAGAAGATGGCGCTCTTCTTTATCTATTCTCTCTCCCTTGTTTCTCCCTTCCCTCTTTCTTTTCGAAATGAGAAAAACAAAAAGGAAGAACTATGAGAAGGAGAAGAGTAAGGAAAGGAACAGAAGAGATAGGCCGAGAGGATGAATATGATGGAGTATTATGGAAAGGCTCACGCGCAAGGAGTCACCCTCTGCTTACCTTTTCACTGCTTTATCATATGAGTTCCTTTCTTGTGTTTTATCAGTTAAAAGGAAGCGGAAGAAGAGAAGGGAAAGGGAAGTGAGAGAGGAAAGATAACAAGGATGCTATGTTTCCCGAAGCGTGCTGCAAGGAATAGAAGAGACAGGAAGCAAGGAGACGGAATCACAAAATAAGGCGCAAAGCTGTACATATCATCTCTCCCTTGTCTCTCCCTATTCCCCTTCGAACTAGAAAAAACCATTCTTGCTTTTCACAGATAGGTTCCCTCTCTCCTCTTCAGGAAATCCCCTTTCCCTTATGTTGCTTTTTGAAGCGAATAAGAAAAATAGCAGATAAGAAGAGAGGAAAGGGTCAATTTCCCTCCCTATCTCTTATGTTGCTTTTCCTTCTTGTGGGGTGTCCCTGTTTCTCTTGAAGATGCAGAAAAACGATTGAAAAGGACACCCGTTCCATCGCCCATGTGTAGGGAAAGAGAGAGAATCATGAGCATCAGCTGGGCTTGCTGCCAATCCAACATGGGCGTCCCTTTTAATCGCAGTCTGTGTCCTTTTTTCTCGCTTGAAGATGCAGAAAACGATCCAAAAGCACATCTGTTGGAGGAAGAGAGAAGGAGAGAGGAGAGATACCAAGGATTGCATATTTAATGGGAAGAGCAAGGAAGAGAATAGAAGACAGATGAATAGAGAAGAGGGAGAGACAAAACAAGGCGCAGAGAAGATGGCACTCTTCTTTATCTATTCTCTCTCCCTTGTTTCTCCCTTCCCTCTTTCTTTTCGAAATGAGAAAAACAAAAAGGAAGAACTATGAGAAGGAGAAGAGTAAGGAAAGGAACAGAAGAGATAGGCCGAGAGGATGAATATGATGGAGTATTATGGAAAGGCTCACGCGCAAGGAGTCACCCTCTGCTTACCTTTCCACTGCTTTATCATATGAGTTCCTTTCTTGTGTTTTATCAGTTAAAAGGAAGCAGAAGAGAAGGGAAAAGCAAAAATTGAGCCCAACATTTTAGGACCAGGGCTTGCGATCTGACTCTTTGGAGCAAAAATCGATTCCAAAATCTTAGGGACCAGGGCTTGCGATGTTACTCTTTGGAGCAAGAAATGAGCCCAAAATCTTAAAGACCGGGGCTTGCGATTTCACCTTTTGGAGCAAATACTGGGCCCAAAATCTTAGGGACCAGGGCTTGCAATTTGACTCCGTGGAGCACAAATCGACCCCGAAATCTTAGGGACCAGGGCTTGCGATTTGACTCTGTGGAGCACAAATCGACCCCGACAACTTAGGGACCAGGGCTTGCGATTTGACTCTTTGGAGCAAAAATCGACCCAAAAATCTAAGGGACCAGGGCTTGCGATTTTACTCTTTGGCGCAAAAACTGGCCCCCAAATCTTAGGGACCAGGGCTTGCGATGTCACTCTTTGGAGCAAAATTGAACCCAAAGTCTTAGGGACCAGGGCTTGCGATTTGACTCTTTGGAGCAAAAACTGGGCCCAAAATCTTAGGGAGCAGGGTTTGCGATTTGACTCTTTGGAGCAAAAACTGGGCCCCAAATCTTAGGGACCAGGGCTTGCGGTTTGACTCTTTGGAGCAAAAATTGAGCCCAAAATCTTAGGGACCAGGGCTTGCGATTTGACTCTTTGAACCAAAAACTGGGCCCAAAATCTTAGGGACAAGGGCTTGCGATGTCACTCTTTGGAGCAAAAAATGAACCCAAAATCTTAGGGACCAGGGCTTGCGATTTGACTCTTTGGAGCAAAAACTGGGCCCCAAATCTTAGGGACCAGGGCTTGCGATTTGACTCTTTGGAGCAAAAATTGAACCCAAAATCTTAGGGACCAGGGCTTGCGATTTGACTCTTCGGAGCAAAAACTGGGCCCAAGATCTTAGGGACCAGGGCTTGCGATGTCACTCTTTGGAGCAACAATGAATGCAAAATCTTAGGGACCAGGGCCTGCGATTTGACTCTTTGGAGCAAAAATTGAACCCAAAATCTTAGGGACCAGGGCTTGCGATTTGACTCTTTGGAGCAAAAACTGGGCCCAAGATCTTAGGGACCAGGGCTTGCGATGTCACTCTTTGGAGCAAAAAATGAACCCAAAATCTTAGGGACCAGGGCTTGCGATTTGACTCTTTGGAGCAAAAACTGGGCCCAAAATCTTAGGGACCAGGGCTTGCGATGTCACTTTTTGGAGCAAAAAACGAACCCAAAATCTTAAGGACCAGGGCTTGCGATGTCACTCTTTGGAGCAAAAATTGAACCCAAAATCTTAGGGACCAGGACTTGCGATGTCACTCTTTGGAGCAAAAACTGGGCCCCAAATCTTAGGGACCAGGGCTTGCGATTTGACTCTTTGGAGCAAAAACTGGGCCCAAAATCTTAGGGACCAGGGCTTGCGATGTTACTCTTTGGAGCAAAAACTGGGCCCCAAATCTTAGGGACCAGGGCTTGCGATGTCACTCTTTGGAGCAAAAATTGAACCCAAAATCTTAGGGACCAGGACTTGCGATGTCACTCTTTGGAGCAAAAACTGGGCCCCCAATCTTAGGGACCAGAGCTTGCGATGTCACTCTTTGGAGCAAAAATTGAACCCAAAATCTTAGGGACCAGGGCTTGCGATTTGACTCTTCGGAGCAAAAACTGGGCCCCAAATCTTAGGGACCAGGGCTTGCGATGTTACTCTTTGGAGCAAAGATTGAACCCAAAATCTTAGGGACCAGGGCTTGCGATTTGACCCTTTGGAGCAAAAACTGGGCCCAAAATCTTAGGGACCAGGGCTTGCGATTTGACTCTTTGGAGCAACTGGGCCCAAGATCTTAGGGACCAGGGCTTGCGATGTCACTCTTTTGGGCAAGAAATGAGCCCAAAATCTTAGGGAGCAGGGCTTGCGATTTGACCCTTTGGAGCAAAAACTGTGCCCCAAATCTTAGGGACCAGGGCTTGCGGTTTGACTCTGTGGAGCAAAAATTGAACCCGAAATCTTCGGGACCAGGGCTTGCGATTTGACTCTTCGGAGCAAGAAATGAGCCCAAAATCTTAAGGACCAGGGCTTGCTTTGGAGCAAAAAACTGAGTCCAAAATCTTAGGGACCAGGGCTTGCGATTTGACTCTTTGGAGCAAAAACTGGGCCCCAAATAATAGGGACCAGGGCTTGCGATGTTACTCTTTGGGGCAAGAAATGAGCCCAAAATCTTAGGGACCAGGGCTTGCGATGTTACTCTTTGGGGCAAGAAATGAGCTCAAAATCTTAGGGACCAGGGCTTGCGATGTCACTTTTTGGAGCAAAAACTGTGCCCTAGTATTGGGGGGAGGAGGGCTCGTGATTTAGTATTGGGAGGAGGCCCGGGCTCGTAAATTAGTATTGGGGGGAGGCCCGGGCTCGTGATTTAGTATTGCGGGAGGCCCGGGCTCGTGATTTAGTATTGGGGGGAGGCCCGGGCTCGTGATTTAGTATTGGGGGGAGGCCCGGCCTCGTAATTTGGAGGCCCGGGCTCGTGATTTAGCCCGGCTCGTGATTTAGTATTGGGGGGAGGCCCGGGCTCGTGATTTAGTATTGCGGGAAGGCCCGGGCTCGTAATTTAGTATTGGGGGGAGGCCCGGGCTCGTGATTTAGTATTGGGGGGAGGCCCGGGCTCGTGGTTTAATATTGGGGGGAGGAGGATGCCCCAGCCCCCACCCCCCATTTGGAAATAAATGAATTAATTGAATTAATTGATTAAATTCATTAAATTCCAGGGGGAAAGTGGAAATTAAGGAATTTAATGAATTAAATTCTGTCTGTGCAACCCTACAGGACCTAAAATAGGGTCTATTTGGAACATGGCTCTTGTGAATAAGTATACGTTTTGGGGCCTGTTTTCCTCTTGTAAATACGATTCCCCGCTTCCAAATAGACCCTATTTAAGCTGCACACCCCCCCCCCCCCCCCCCCCCCCCGCGACCACTTTCCCGAAAACCACAAACCCCCTCGACAAACCTTGTTAAGCACCAGCCCGAAAACTTAAAAAGGGTTCAAAACCTAAACCCTAAACCCTAAATCCTTGGCCCTAAACCCTACACCCTAAACCCTCAACCCTAAGACCTAAACCCTACACCCTAAACCTCAAAAGCCCCCAGGGCTCAAAACCTGAAACCTGTCAAGAGAGACTCGGGCAGATCAAGGCATTTAGGGCTTAGGGGTTTAGGGTAAACCCTAAACCCTAAACCCGAAACCCTAAACCCTAAACCCTAAACCCCAATTGGCGGCACCGGCCTCCGGAATGAAGTACGTGGGCAGGGAAGAGAGCTGGAACTTTGGCTGCAAGGCTGCCGGGCAGAAGAACTCGTTGACGTAAGACCTGGCGGGTTTAGGGTTTAGGGTTTAGGGTTTAGGTTGTAGGGTTTAGGGCCTGGGTATGTAGGGCACTGGTGAGGCTCTCTTCGCACCCTAGGTTGGGATCACGGTGTTTTTTTGCATCCCCTCCTTGCCACTTCGAGGGATTGAACTCTGAGCAACTGATAACCCCCCTCCCAACAAGAAAGTGTGCAACAAAGACATGAGAAAGACCACGCCCAGGAAACACTGCCCGAACAACTTAAACACCTGAAGTCTGAAACGCTGAAGCCCCCAAGTCCTAAACAGCCAAAAAACTTGGAGGTCAAGAAAGATCTACTATGGGGGTCCTAAACCCTAAACCCTAAACCCTAAACCCCAAACCCCAAACCCTAAACCCTAAACCCTAAACCCTGAACCCTAAACCCTAAACCCTAAACCCTAAACCCCAAACCCTATACAGACAGCCTCAAAATGCGGTTATCCGGGTGCTCAGTGACTCGGCCGCCATAGTTGGCCTCCACGGTCCGTCAAGTGTTAGGTCTTAGGCTTTCGGAGTTGGCTGGTAGGGTTTAGGGTTTAGGGTTTAGGGTTTAGGGTTTAGGGTTTAGGGTTTAGGGTTTAGGGTTTAGGGTTTAGGGTTTAGGGTTTAGGGTTTAGGGTTTAGGGTTTAGGGTTTGGGGTTTGGGGTTTGGGGTTTAGGGTTTGGGGTTTAGGAGTTTAGGAGTTTAGGAGTTTAGGGTTTAGGGTTTTAGGGTTTAGGGTGCCCTACATCCTAAACTTGTGCGCGGTCGTCACCAGAGTCAGGAAGGCAGCGGCAACCGTGCAAACAGTTTCGAACTAATTGGTACAGGCTGTTTTCCCCCCTCTCACCAGATGCATTGAGACGTTTGAAGCCCTGAGCCCTAAACCCTAAACCCTGCCCACCAAACCTCAAAGAGCCTAAACCCTGAACTCTAAACCCTAAACCCTGAACCATCTCAACCCTCAACCCTGAACCCTGTAGTCACCTTCAAGCACAGGACATCTTGTATTTGGATGATTCATCGAGCGCTCTCCAAGCCCCAAGCTTCAAACCCTCATCCCTCGTGCGTTCAGCCAAGTTACCGTAAACAAAGGGCTTGGGGTTCAGGGCTTTTTTCAGGGCTAACCAAGCTACCATAGTGGGAGAGTCAGAGGTTTTAGGGACGCGGTAATGTGAAGATGGCACATATTATAGTACCTAACAAAGTTTCTGAGCCTGAACAAGTTAACCCAGTAGTCCCCCCCCCCCCCCCCCCCGCCCCCGCCCAAAAGCCTAAAGGCCCTAAGGGCCCTAAAGTGCTACCCCAATCCCCTGAACCCTGCAGTAGTACCTGAATAGACCCTACAGTAACACCTGATTTAAACATACCCTAAAGTAGTGCCTTTGATATACCCTATTACCCTAGACCCTACACCCTCCCTAAAGCCTAAACCCTAAACCCTAAACCCTAAACCCTGAACCCTAAACCCTCACCTCGGCGATGAGGTAGCGGATGGCATCCCAAGGGATCTCCGTGGGATTCTCGTCCAGATACATGGCCAGGATGTTCTCACCTTGCTGAGGGTTGAGGGCTTTTAGGGCTATTTTAGGGCTCTTAGGGTTTATACGGCTTTTAGGGAAACAAGGCTGAGGGTTGAAGGCATAGGGCTGTTGATTTTGGCAACTTATGGATATAAGGTTCTTGCCCTCACCGTCAGGTTAGCGGTTGGGGTTTAGGGTTGAAGGTGGGACCTACTGAAAGGTTGAGGGAATGTTGTCACGAGGTTGAAATAGTGAGGTTATGAGTCGGAATACCAATCTTTGTATACGTATGCCGCGATGAACATAGACCTATACTGTACCTCTGAATAGCCTGAACCCTTATTCCTTATATACATCCTGAAGCCTGAATACATGTCTAGTAAACCGAAGAGGGGAAGCCTGCGCTCCTCTAGAACCCTAACCCCAGGACCTAAACAACCCTAGTACTAGAGGCGAGGAATAAATGCTAATGTTATTCCCTTATGGTCCCTGTGTAATACAACATAAGAGCCCCCCCCCCCCCCACCCCCCCACCCCCCCCCCAAAAAAAAAAAAAAAACACGTATTGGAATAACGAGTATTGAAGCCCCTACAATACCTGGCCCTTGCCGTGCCCCTTATCACCCATCCGAGCCGCAGATGTCGAAGTCTGAGTCGTTGAAGTCGTAGCCGATGTTCCATCCCAGCATCTTGAACCTGAGTTTCGTTGTAGCCAAGGGATAGGGTTTAGGGTTTAGGGTTTAGGGTTTAGGGTTTAGGGTTTAGGGTTTAGGGTTTAGGGTTTAGGGTTTAGGGTTTAGGGTTTAGGGTTTAGGGTTTAGGGTTTAGGGTTTAGGGTTTAGTATGGGCTTTAGGATTTGATCCTTTTGTTGCTGACGCCAGCTTGAGGCTGCTTTGGGTTGTTCACGGTTGGCAGTTTAGGGTTTAGGGTACATTGAGATCATATTAGTTTTATGTGGGTAGCTCTCTAAATTACTGTAGGGTCTCTTTCTGGCTCCCCTAGAAAGTACGACACCCTTGAATGAGGACCCCCCAAAAGGGACCCTAATCTAGCTAGCTGCCCATGTATGGATTCGACAGGGAAGATGTTGGTCATCGTTCAGACTGCTATATTAGTCGGGTTTCGTTCAAGCTTGGGGTCAGGGGTGTGTACGGTTCAGGGTTTTCGGGGTGCTCAGGGTCTAAGGGGTGTTTACGGTCTAGGGGTTGTGGTGGTTTGGGTGGGCTCCGGGTTCGAAAGTAGTGCTTTCGGTAAACCCTAAACGCTCTGAACCCTGAATAAGACCCCTGTTAAAAGTTAAGAGAACTCCTCTTGATAAGGTCCCCTTTTCAAAAACCAAGAGAGGAAGAAGGAGGTCTAAAAAGGGGTTTCCTGTGACAGGGGTCTGCCTACGGAGTCCTACCAAGGTCACAACAACGAAGAGGTACCGCTGCGAGGGCGGTCGGGCGGGCGGGGGGAATAGAAACCCTGAACCCGAAAACCTGTAACCCTAAAGCCTAAAGCCTAAAGACTAAAGCCGAAAGCCTAAAGCCTAAAGCCGAAAGCCTAATGCCCAAAGCCTAATGCCCAAAGCCTAAACCCTAAACTCTCTCGACCCAGCAGAGGGGCTTCTTCCGCTCCAGGAGAATTGCATGGAACCAACACAGAGAGAAGAAGAGCCGGCGATACTTCTGCACCTCTTTGACACGGTTGTAGGACTCCTGGAGCAGCCAAAGAGCAAGCCAAGGGATAGGGTTTAGGGTTTAGGGTTTAGGGTTTAGGGTTTAGGGTTTAGGGTTTAGGGTTTAGGGTTTAGGGTTTAGGGTTTAGGGTTTAGGGTTTAGGGTTTAGGGTTTAGGGTTTAGGTCGAAGAGCAAGCCCAGGGAGTAAAAAACGTCGGGGTCGGAAGAATTTCGAGTGGTTATTCCCTTAGGGTCCCTTTGTAAATATACTGTAAGAGCCCCCCCAAAACCCTATTCTAATTATTCAGGCTCCTACCCTAGGGATCTCAGGGTTCAGGGCTTGGGGGTTCAGGGGGTGTAAGTCCAGAATCAGGCTTCAGGGTTCAGGGGGTTTGGGGTTTGGGGGTTTAGGGCTTGGGGTTTAGGGTTTGGTGGTTTTGGGGGTTATTTGGGCATTGTCTGGAAGCTGATGGCCGATCACAAGATTCCGCTTAAAGGGGCACCGGAGCTTCCGAAGAAGGTCCCAGAACGCTGGCGTTTGCTGCAGGGTTCAGGGCTCTGCTCTTGGATGTCCCGAAAACAGCCTAAGCCCTAAACCCTAAACCCTAGACCCTAAACCCGAAACCCTCAACCCTCTAAACCCCTTAAGCCCTGATCCTCCATCAAGTCCCAAGTGCCGCGCATCCGCGGAGTTTTGCACAAGCCACGGGCTGAGGTCTTAGGGATTTGGGGGTTCAGGTTTTGCCTAAAGCAAAAACTACGGGTTTAGGGTTTCGGGTTTGGGGTTTAGGGTTTAGGGTTTAGGGTTTAGGGTTTCGGGTTTAGGGACAACTATACTCCTTAAACACGGAACGGTACCTTGGACGGGTCTGGGAAATCGGTTTAAGGGTACCCAGAAGCTTAGGGCCATGTCGGTTTACGTTGAACACACCGGCTTCTCCAGGTGCCCCGGAGGCCCTAAATCAGAAACCCTAAACCCTAAACCCTAAACTCTAAACCCTAAACCCTAAGCCCTAAACCCTAAACTGGCCCTAAACTCTAAACCCTAAACCCCAAACCCTAAACCCTAAACCCTAAACCCTAGACCCTAAACCCTAAACCCTAAACCATACACCCTAACCTTCCTCTGCGGTGTTCTGCAACAGCCGCACAAGGTTGGCTTTCAGCCCCTTTGGAGGTTCCGTGGTCCTTGGCACGCTCTAGGTTTTAGGGTCTAGGGTTTAGGGCTTTTTAGAGTATTATAAGGTTTAGAGGCTAGGGTTTTTTAGGGTTCAGGGCCTTTTAGGGTTGAGGGTTGAGGGTCTAGTACATCAGAAGAGGACGCTGTGGGAAAGTGTCCTTAAACTTTCTTGGTTCGCAGACTGTCAGCTTTCAAGCTAAATCCTAAACTCTGAACGCTGAACCCTAAACCCAGTCTGGGCATCTCCTAATCTAGGGGACCCGATTAATATCCCCCAATCTGAAAAATGCTGATTATGAGAATGGGATGATTTCTGCTCCCCCCCTTTCATGATTCGCCATGGATCTGTACATTTGAGGGCACTCAAGCGTAAAACGATGGGGAACCTCATCTCATGCTTCGGCGTTCGGCAGTTTCTGGTTTTTGTGAGGTTCGGGTGTCGGGCGTTTAGAGGATTAAGCGTTCGAAACGTGGAAAATTGAAAGACCAAACCCTAGCCCTAAAACCTGAACCCTAAACCCTGAACCCTAAACCCGAAGTTGGAGTTCTCTTTGAGCACCGCTTGATGTACGTACGATGCTCCCTGCTGCAAGGGTGTAGTTGGGGCGTTTGAGTTGCAAAAGAAATAACTCAATGACGTACTAGACTAAACTAGAGCCTCAGCCCTACTGCACCCGCAACACTAAACCCTAAACCCTAAACCCTAAACCCTAAACCCTAAACCCTAAACCCTAAACCCTAAACCAAGTAAGCCCCCGACCCTCCCTGTGGCCCTCAGCTTCTAAGGTGTGCACCATGGGCCCTTAGTGGTCCCTTACCCTCTTGTTTACAGGGATCGGCAGTAGGGGCCCTTATTATGTATATATATATATATAGACTAAGCCATTATATAGATATACATATATATATATAGATAGTTTTATAGATAGATAGATAGATCGATAGATAGATAGATAGTGTGTATAAGGGTTAGATGAAAAGGTCCCCGAATTAAGGGCTCATACTTTGGACCACGCCAAGGGTCATCTTGATGCAGTTCTGCAGGAGCTGAATGGGGAACCTCGTGACGCACTCGAAGAATATTCGGGGATCTAGAGCTAAGGATTCTTGATGCCTAAACCCTAAACCCTAAACCCTAAACCCTAAACCCTAAATCCTAAACCCTAAACCCTAAACCCTAAACCCTAAACCCTAAATCCTATGGCTGCCGGGGGGGTGGCGGTTTGGGGCCTTGTGGGGGGCCTGCACAGCATTTCAGTCAGAAGTCGATGGGATGAGGCGACAGGAACTCCGAGCTGTCCACACGCGCCAAACCCCGAAATTTAGGGTTTAGGGTTTAGGGTTTAGGGTTTAGGGTTTAACGCCCTAAACGCTAAACCCTACAGGGAAAAGCATGTACTTTGTTATTATTTATTCATTTTTTTGGGGGGGGTCCTTGTAACAGGGTCTCAAAGCCCGCAACCACGTTACCCAAGCCGCTAACCTGCCGACCTTTGACTGACAAGCATTTATTTCCGCACTAGGGCCTAGACCCGAAACCCTGGACCCTAGACCCTAAACCCTGAAGCCGAAACCCTAAGCCCTGAGCCCTAAACCCTAAACCCTAAACCCTAAACCCGAAACCCTAAACCCTACTCAAAGGAACTAGGCATTGACCGCCGAACGGCTTTGGAGTCGGCGAGGATGACAGGAAGATGCGGAACTTCTCGTGCGGCCCCTGCAGGGTGTATGAAGGGTATAGGGTTTAGGGTTTAGCGTTTAGGGTTTACGGTTTAGGGTTTAGGGTTTAGGGTTTCGGGACTAGGGTTTAGGGTTTAGGGTTTAGGGTGTAGACTTTAGGGGTGTATGCGGCCTTGGGGTCGTTTCAACCCGTACATCAGGGGAGGTACGGACCATGTTAAGGGCCCATGCAACTACCCTAAACCCTAAACCCTAAACCCTAAACCCTAAACCCTAAACCGTAAACCCTAGGCATCCTATGCACACCAGGGCCACACTTGTCACCAGGTGCGCTATGGTTTAGAGTTTAGCGTAAAGGGTGATTTCGGGGAATGAACTCTCCAGCCAAAGCTGACTAGCCTTTTGAAAGGCCCTTAAATCCGCAGACGTAGCCTGATGGAGAGCACGTTCAACTTCAACTGATGTTTTCGGACGATGATGCCACCACAGCCCCCAAGACCCAAAACCCGTGTCCCCAAATTTTGAGAAGCCCATATTTCCCCCCCCCCCCCCCCCCCCTCCCCTGCCATCACATATGCCCGCCCCTTCCTGCCGAGCAAATAAGGCCCAAAGGCAACCCTTATCAAAGCTAAGTTAGGGCTTGTTATCCCTAAACCCTAAACCCTAAACCCTAAACCCTCAACCCTAAACCCCAAACCATGGGGCTCGAATCCCCAACCAAAGCTCACCTCGTCAAAGGTCTTTTCGATCAGCTTCTCTAGAGAGGGAAGCCAATGCACACAGAGATGGCCTCAGGTTCACTTGCGCAACTTCCGGGTTTTGTCTACGGGTTCTTTTTAAGGCTTTATAAGGGGCTTTTTTAAAGGCTGTATAAGGGTTTCTTGAAGGCTCTATAAGGGTTTCGTTTTTTTTGAAGGCTTTCTAAGGGTTCTTTTTAAGGCTTTATAAGGGTTTCTTTAAGGCTTCATAAGGGTTCTTTTAAAGGCTTTATAAGGGTTCTGTTTAAGGTTGTATACGGGTTTCTTTGAGGCTTTATAAGGGTTTCGGGTGATTGGCTAATATCAGCATGTCCTCAAAGTTCCGTGGCAGGTTCGAGGTGTTTCGGATATCAGAATGCCGAGCTCTACAGGGATTCGGGGGACTATCAAAGTCGAATCCCCCCCCGAATCGGTTTAGGCTTTAGGGTATTCTGTACTCCCTCAGAACCAGAATGACAATGGTCTGCTGAACCCGGGTTTGATTCTCAGTGAACTAAAGCAGAGAAAAAACACCACTTTTGAGGGTTTAGGGTTTAGGGTTTGGGGTTTAGGGTTTAGGGTTTGGGGTTTAGGGTTTAGGTATTAGCTAGGAGATGGCCCTTCAGACCCTCTGAGAACATTCCAGAATATGATCCTCGCCAAGGGCCTACCGAGATCGGTTTATGGAAACACAAAGCAAAGCGGCATGGCCGTAGCAAGTGCCAACCACAATCATTTCAACGGTGCAGCAAAAGCCACCTTTCAAACCCAACCCCCACTCTAAGCCCAATGCCAACCTCAAAACCTCAGCCCCCCTAAATCCTAAACACTGAAAAAGCCCGAAAAGAAAAACCCTGAACCCTACACCCTATTTCAATGAAACCGAAATCGAAACCAAGGGAGTCAGAGGTAGGAGGGGAGGCTGGTGGAGTGTCGAGGTGAAGCGGCACCACGTCTTCAAGAAGGTTGAGGGTTCTAGGGATTTATGGTTTGGGGCTTTGGGGTTTCAGGGTCGAAAGGGTTCAGCGTTTTAGGATTATAGGGCTTGGGGCTTTGCTGTGCGAGGGTTTAGGACTTAGGGCCCTAGGGTTTAGGGCTCGAGGGATTTCGGGGGCTCGGGGTTAGGGGTCCTATAGGGTTTAGAGCGCGGTAGGATGCCAGCATTTGCCTGCAGGCCGGTCAACACTAAAGCCTTAAATCCAAGATGCAATTTGCCAGTAGCACCCAGAAGCCCTTTTCGGCGCCATCGATCCTGGTTTTCGGGTTTTAGACCCTAAACCACAAACCCTAAACCCTAAACCCTGAACCCTAAACCCTAAACCCTAAACCCTAAACCCTAAACCCTAAACCCTAAACCCTAAACCCTAAACATGAACCCTAAATGGAGGGGGGCGGCAGAATGGTGAATGGGGCCCGCTGCTTAGTACCCAGGGACCTGCTTAGCCTAGAAATAGCGCGAGTTTGTCAGGTTTTCCTACTTGGTAGCCACGTAACCATATATAAAATTGCACTAAGCGCACCAATTTTTTGGGGTTAGCTATAGTTGATAAGGGAACCTTGAACCACAAAACGGAAAAGGGTACCCCTGGGCTACCAAGGCTAATCAGCGGGGACCCAAGGCTTTCTGAATCAAGCCTGGCTGCCTCTGGGAGGGGGGGGGGAGGGTGTTGGGCTCAACAGGTCCACGTTGATTTCAACCCTATAACCCTAAACACTAAATTTTGAGCCATAAACCCTAAACCCTAAACCCTAAAGCCTGAACCCATGACGGGTAGGTTCTTCGGAACCCGTTAAAAAAGGGTTTTGGGTTTAGGTTGGGATGTCCCCCCTTGCACTAACTGTCCTTAATAGGGATTGTGAAAAATCTGCCCTCTATTATGTAAAATCTTAGTGAGGACTCTTAGTGTACGGGGCGAACATCCCAAGGTTTCGGGTTAAAAAGGTACACAGTGACCACAAAAATGCCTTTGCATTGGGGATCTGTGCTTCGAGGTTCAGGGCCTGGGAGCTCTCTCTAGGGAACCCTAGACCCCTAGACCCCTAGACCCCTAGACCCCTTAACCCCTAAACCCCTAAACCCCTTACCTCTAAACCCTAAACACTAAACCCCTAACCTCTAATACCCTAAACCCTAAACCCTAGACCCTAAAACCTAAACCCTAAACCCTAAACCCCAAACCCTGAATCCTGAACCCTAACACCAAATCTGGCCAGGTGCATCATCTTCTTGGCTTTCCTTTGCATGTGCGCAGGAGCTCGAGGCTTGAGTAGCCCAGGGTTCTTGAGGCTGCTTCGGGTAAGTAGGGTTCAGGGTTTAGGGTTTAGGGTTTAGGGTTTAGGGTTTAGGGTTTAGGGTTTAGGGTTTAGGGTTTGGGGTTTGGGGTTTGGGGTTTGGGGTTTGGGGTTTGGGGTTTGGGGTTTGGGGTTTGGGGTTTGGGGTTTGGGGTTTGGGGTTTAGGGGATAGGGTGTAACTAGGGGTCAGCGTTTAGGGTTTAGTGTTCAGGGTTTAGGGTTTAGGGTTCAGGGTTCAGGGCTTAGGGTTTAGGGCTTAGGGTTGTGAAGGGTTTACGGCGTAGGGTTTAGGGCTTGGGGCTTAGGGTGTGGGGTGCAGGGTTCAGGGTTTAGGGTTCAGGTTTTAGGGTTTGTTAGGGTTCAGGGTGTAGGATTCAGGGGTAAGGGTTCAGGGTTTAGGGTGTATTAGTTCCAGGGTTTGGGTTCAGGGTTAAGGATTTACGAACTTAAGACAACTTAAGACTTCACAACATGAGTGGCCTTCTCGTGTACCTGTAGCCCGCAAAGTGGTAGAGCATATGCCCCCACTCCAAACAACGGAATGCAGATTCTGAACCCCGCCCAGGTATTGCATAGTGCAACACGAAATGGTCCCTCCCCGCAAAAACAATACAGCACTTGACCCCCTAAACCCTCAACCGTAGACCCGAAGGAAGTACATGTTTAAGCCCACACCCCCCCCCCCCCCCCCCCCCCCCCCCCCCCCCCCCCCCCCCCCCCCCCCCCCCCCCACCCCCACGCAAGTAACCCAAGACGTATAAGGTTTGGGATGTAGGGATTTAGGTTTGCGATGCTACTCTCACTATGCCTAAAACCTTCACCCTGAGGCTCCAACTAGCCCAAAGTAGGTACGCTTTGCAGACTTTGCACCCGAAAGTGAGTAGGTACGATTTGTGGACTTGGAGCCCTAGGGTCAGGGTCTCAACCCTAAACCCTAAACCCTATAAACCCTAAACCCTAAACCCTAAACCCTAAACCCTAAACCCTAAACCCTAAACCCTAAACTGCTCAACCCTAAACCCGAAACCCGGAGTGTTCTCGCGAAGAGGAGCGGTTCCTGGCCCTGTCCCAGAGAAATCGTCTGCCATTGCCTTCGCTCGGGCGGCGGGGGTAGGGCTTAGGACTTCGGCTTGAGGGTTGACGGGTTTAGGGCTAGGGTTTAGGGCTAGGGTTTAGGGTTTAGGGTTTAGGGTTTAGGGTTTAGGGTTTAGGGTTTAGGGTTTAGGGTTTAGGGTTTAGGGTTTAGGGTTTAGGGTTTAGGGTTTAGGGTTTAGGGTTTAGGGCTCAGGGTTTATGTAGGGTTTACACAAAACCCTAAGCCCTAAACGGCCCCAAATCCTATTCATGCCCCAAACCCTAAACCCTAAACCCTAAACCCTAAACCCTAAACCCTACACCCGGATGCTGAGAGAAGTTGCAATCCACGCGCGACGGCCAGGGCCCTAAGCTGCGATGTAGGATCCATGCCAGGTGTGAGGACGAACCTTGGGGTTTAGGGTTTAGGGTTTAGGGTTTAGGGTTTAGGGTTTAGGGTTTAGGGCAACTTGGGCGGGCTTCCGGGGCTTTGGGGGCTAAGGGTTGCTTGGGGTTGAGGGTTGTAAACCCTAAGCAAATACATCCTAAACCCTAAGCCCTAAGCCCTACACCCTAAACCCCAAACCCCAAACCCTAAACCCTAAACCCTAAACCCTAAACCCTAAACCCTAAACCCTAAACCCTAAACCCTAGCCCAGTTTAGGGCTCTGGAGTTGCGGGTTGGACTAGACGGTCCCCGGGAAGAAAGGAAAACCGCCGTGGCATCTGCAGATCGCTTTCAAGGGCGTTGAGAGCTTGGGGTTCGGGGTTAGGGTTCAGGGTTCAGGATTCAGGGTTTGGGGTTTGGGTTCAGGGTTCAGGGTTTAGGATTTAGGGTTCGGGGTTTCGGGTTCAGGGTCACGGGTTGTCATGAAGAGACTCAGACCCCAACCCCCCCCCCCGCCCACCCACCCTCCGTCGATCGTTGTGGCATGGGACAGAAAACGCAAGCAAGCGCATGCGGGTAGCACTGCGGTGGGTTGGTGAAGAAATTGGCACACCCGTAGTCACCCGCGCCACTTTCATAGACACCCTTAGCCCTAAATCCCTAAACCCTTAAACCCTAAAAAGTCAAAGACTCCAAAGCCTAACAGACAACGCAAGCCCAGCCCCCCCACCCCCCCACCCCCAAAAAAAGTAAACCCTAAACCCTAAACCCTAGACCCTAGACCCTAAATCCTAAATCCTAAACCCTAAACCCTAAACCCTACAACTAGAGCTTTCGGGGGTGACTCGGCTCCTGATTGACCCGAGAGTTCGAGAGGTTCGAGTCGTTTGTAAGGTAGGGGGACATGAGGCTCCAGGGCTACATAGGGGTATAGGGGACATAGGGTAGAGGTTGGGATGTTCCCCCTTATAGTAACAGTCCTGAATAAGGATTTTACTAGGGATACATTCAGGACTGTTAGTATAACGGGCAACATGCGAAGACATGGGGTACAGGGTATGGGTAGGGGTGTAGGGTATAGGGCTTAATCAGAGTATTAGAGTATAGGGTTTAGGGTTCAAGGGCTTAGGGCTTGACTTTTCTTGGAGCACCGCTCGCGCGCTCGCATGGTATCGGTGTGCTCATGCAACTGGCATATACCATACCGGCATGAGTTGCAAGCCAACGCGCGTGCTCACAAGGACCACCGCAGGGCAACTGAATCCAATAGGGTGTTGAGGGTTTAGGACTTCGGACCCTAAACCCTAAACCCTAAACCCTAAATTGGTAGCCCAGCAACGATCTTACAATGAGGGTACCCAAGGCCAACCGTATTCTGCGAAGCAAAATGTCTTGCACTGCATGGACTTGAGGTGCTGAGACCTGATCTCTGACCCTAAAACTATGCCCTAAACCCTCAACCTTAAACCCTAAGCCCTGAGCCCTACACCCCTGCCATGTGACGCTGTAGTGTTTAGGGTTTTACAGTTTAGGGTGTAAGATTGAGGGATTTTGGGGGTTAAGGTTTTCGGGTTCTAGGGCTTAGGGTTGTTTAGGTTTGTTTGTTTCGGGTTCAGGGCTTTAAGGCTTATGTTTTAGGTTGTAGGGCCTAGGGTCAGACGCTTCGTTGCATTTTCAAAGTAAGTAGCGCCTGAGCGGTGATCCATCAAAGGAGCAGCTGTCGATGCCAATGCTCCCAGCGAGCTCGGGACGCATGTAGGGTACCCGTGCTCACGAGCCTTGTAATGACACTAAACCCTAAACCCTAAACCCTAAACCCTAAACCCTAAACCCTAAACCCTAAACCCTAAACCCTAAACCCTAAACCCATAAACCCTAAACCCCAAACCCCAAACCGCAAACCCTAAATCCTAAACCCTAAACCCTAACCTCGATGTTGGTTCCGATTGTCAAGGAGTTTGTGGCGGGCAAACACCCTGCCATACCCTAAACCCTAAACCCTAAACCCTAAACCCCAAACCCTAAACCCTAAACCCTAAACCTTCAAAAGGCTCCTGACTTCGCCTGCGCTCTTGCGTCGTCACGTACCAGCGCAGTGTGGCCCAGGACTCCAGGCACTTGTGTAGGTTTAGGGTTTAGGGTTTAGGGTTTAGGGTTTAGGGTTTAGGGTTTAGGGTTTAGGGTTTAGGGTTTAGGGTTTAGGGTTTAGGGTTTAGGGTTTAGGCTTTGGGGTTTAGGGTTTAGGGGCTTGGGGAAGTGCTCTCAACCTTTCAACCCTAAAGAGTTATCACCCAAAAGCCCTGCAAAACCCCATGAACTGCACCCAACGAGTTCCCAAACCAACCGGCGCAATCTGAACCTGTGAAGGCTTTGGGTTCAGAGATTATGGGGTTCGGGGCCTGAAGCCCAAACCTTTTTTGCTCCAATTCGGGGGTTCTGTGATGGGCACCCTATGTGAGGGTCGCGTCTGGCTGCTTGGTTTTTTTTGGCAGCTCAGGGCAAAACCCACTGAATCCTAAACCCCAACACCCTAAGGCCTAAGGCCTCAGGCCTAAGGCCTATACTAAGGCCTAAACCCTAAACCCTCAACCTTAAACCCTAAACCCCCGGAATGCCATTTGTGGGTAAATGGCGGAGGAGTTCCTGGGCCCCCATGCAGCAAAAAATCTTCCGCCCTTGCCACGACGTTGAGGTCGGGCTTGGCTGAAGCCCCCGGCGCTTGCGCCCTGGCGCTCAGCCCTTGTCACGTTGTTTTTGTTGTGTTTTCTTCTTCTTTGTTTATTCTTTCCGTCTGTTTTTTGTTTGTTGTTTTTATATATTGTTATTTGATTCTAAGGTTCAGGGTGTAGTTTAGGGTTTGGGGCATGAGGAGTTCTAGCCCCCTAACCCCTATAAACCCTAAACCCTAAACCCCAAACCCTAAACCCTAAACCCCAAACCCTAAAGTTTAGTAAACCCTAAACCCTGCTACCGATGGGGAGACAGTCAGTTCCCTGGAGCTTCCGGTTTTTGGGATCCCGTGTGACGTCTGAAGCAGAAAGATGGCAGTACACCCCAAACCCTAGGGTTTGGGTTTAGGGTTTAGGGTTTAGGGTTTAGGGTTTAGGGTTTAGGGTTTAGGGTTTAGGGTTTAGGGTTTAGGGTTTAGGGTTTAGGGTTTAGGGTTTAGGGTTTAGGGTTTATGTTTTAGGGTTTAGGGTTTAGGGTTTAGGGTTTAGGGTTTAGGGTTTAGGGTTTAGGGTTTAGGGTTTAGGGTTTAGGGTTTAGGGTTTAGGGTTTAGGGTTTAGGGTTAGGGTTTAGGGTTGAAGGTTTTAGGGTTAGGGTTTACGGCCAACACCCTAAACCTTAACCATGGAGGTGGTAGAGGATCTCATGACCTCGACCCGACCGGGACCCGCACAACTTTGGGCGTGGGTTTCAGGGCTTCGGGTTTTAGGGTGTAGGGTTTAGGGTTTAGGGGGTTCAGGTGTTAGGATTTAGGGTTTGTAATAGGGTGTGGGAAGGGTAAAGGTACTCAGCAGCTTGGAACCCTAAACCCTAAACCCTAAACCCTAAACCCTAAACCCCAAATCATCCCTGCAACATGGGCTCGCTCCACCAGGCTTCTCGGAGAATTGCGGGCGTGAGAAGAGGCTACGACGTCTGGCAGGTATGCTTCGGCAAGCGTCTCTCTCTACACACTGGCGCGCCTGAGCATAGCAACAGAAAGCATATGACCCCTTGAAACACTGAACCCTTGTAGCCGTCTAAAGGCGAAGAAGAAACACATGATGTGGAGGGCTGCGGTACACTGCAACCCGAAAGCAGAAACCTTAAACCCTAACCACGGAAACCCTGATAACGTCTGAGCCCACAAGCACTCTTGACAGGCAGACTGTAGGGTTTAGGTTTAGGGTTTAGGGTTTAGGGTTTAGGGTTTAGGGTTTAGGGGTTTAGGGCTTGGGGAACCCTAAAGCATGTCGGTAGTTTTTCCAAATTAGGAAAGATGTTACCCCACTATGACAAAGGTTTAGGGTCTAGGATATAGGTAGAGTAGAGAGTGATCGATTGGCCGGTCGCGGGACATTCGCTTTTTCGCAAAGAACGACCTGGGAACGAAGCGCACGCATACCCACAAGGTGGGACCACCTTTGAGCGAAAAGTGTGTGGTCTTATTTAGCATAGTGCCACACCCTACCCCTAACCCCTAACCTCTAACCCCTAAACCCTAAACCCTGAACCCTAAACCCTAAACCCTGAACCGGCAAGAAGAAGCATCAGCCCTACTTTTCCAGGAAGGTCGACCCACCTTGCACCAGATAAGTTACAAAGTTGATGCCTGGGCAGTGGTCTGTGGGAGGTGAGCACAGACATGATACAGCTCCGTAGCCCCCCCAAACAGACGAACCCTAAACTTCATAACTCTCCCCTGACGCCTAGAAGTGGGTAGCTGGTCGCCTAAACCCTAAACACTAAACCCTAAACCCTAAACCCTAAACCCTAAACCCTAAACCCTAAACCCCATTCCCTCCCCCAACCACCCCCTTCTACCATCCTGGGGATCAGCGAAACATTGGATTTCGTGCGGATGGGTATTCTGGTCAGTCCAAGACTTTTTACCACAACTTATTGCTTGGCTTAGGGTTTAGGGTTTAGGGTTTAGGGTTTAGGGTTTAGGGTGTAGGGTTTAGGGTCTAGGGTTTAGGGTTTAGGGTTTAGGGTTTAGGGTCTAGGGTTTAGGGTTTAGGGTTTGGGGTTTGGGGTTTGGGGTTTGGGGTTTGGATTTTGGGGTTTAGCGGGTTTAGCCGGTTTAGCGGGTTTAGGGTCTAGGGGTTAGGGTTTAGGGGCTCAGGCTCAGGGGTCTGCCCATCCCAGACCACACTCCCAGATCATAACAACCTCTTGGTCAGGGTCCGTTGCTGTGTACCGTGCGTACACGAAGACAACGGGCCGAAACCGACGAGTAGGGGTCCGGCAAGCGAACTGCTTTGAAGCTATCGCGAATGAGTCGCCAAACCCTAAACCCTAAATCCTAAACCCTA